TCCTGACTATGAACCACATGAGCTACATAATATCGTAGATAATTCTTCAAAGAATGCATCTAATAGACTTCAAAGTCTCGATGATAAACTATGAAACAAGTTAAATATTTTCTTTATCAATAGATCGAAAATAACTTTTAAGATCTAACTTTTAAGATCTAGTGCACCACTCGTTCTAACACATAAGTGTGAGATTTAGTTTAGAGGCTTTTTTTTTATTTCGATGAAATTTTACACTTTTAGTCTTTTAAATGTAAGACTTTTAGGTTTCATTGTGTATTTATTCTTTCCAAATGAAAATTATAAGTAGGCTGGCTATTTGGTCCTGGACTGTTTGGTTTTACCCGAAACCGGACTGTATAACCCGGATCGGGATCGGACTGGGACCGGATAGCAAACAATCCAATCTCATATTCGAGCTTAGATTTGAGGTAAAAAACCCGGATAAAGACCGGATAAGAGACCCCCAACACCTAAAATCAAGATCAAATTGGGACAGAACCGGGTCAAGACCGGACTGTGCCCAATCCAATCTTTGGTCCTTATATTCCCAAAAAGACCGGACTGGGACCGGATCAATTTGGTCCAATTTAACCGGACCGGACCGTATAGCCACCCCTAATTATAAGGGCTAGAATATTTAGTCTAAATTTAGAGTAGTAGTTTCGATATCTATACCATTTTTCAAGTTACACAAAATCTTATTATCAAATAATATTGGACCGACTTTTAAATATCAGTGGACTGAACACTTAAAATCCAAAAATTCATACGTATTATACTAGCTCAGGACCGACGTAGGGCTGGGCCGTGACCCGGGGTGGCCCAACCCCTAGATCCGCCACTGCCCGTAGCATCATGTTGTCTGCAAAAATCAAAGTAACAAAACCGGCACATTTTAAAGTTTGCCCTTATAGAGAGTGGTTCAATGATTCATGATATCCTGATTAAATTATGGATTAATTAGCTTTTCATGTCTTTGTTAACAAATGATACGTAATTATAGGGAAAAACTTGCCTCTTGCGGTCTTGCCATATCATGTCTCTTTCACCACATTGTTACAAAATCCCTATTGAAAGAAAGACTTCTCCATGCCCCTCAATCATATTCATAGTTGATCAATTTGGCTTACATTTTTTTTTTCAAACTAGAGGAATTTTGATAATAAAACAATCTAGCTAGCTGGTCCTAGTGTTTTTTTTTTTATATTATAAAATTGATGGAATTAACAATATTCAAGAAACATCACTACAAGTCTACAATATAAGCTAGCTGGCCCCTCTCATTTGTTGTCACCCAATCCCAGATGCAATTATCTATCTATCGATCCATATTTTGACAACAAAATTCTGATTACGCTAAGTTGAATCTAATTTCCTTTGTATTATTATTATTATTTTTCTTCCAAATAATTTAGTTGGAAAAGTAATTTCAAGTTTAGACATAACATAATTATTATTCAAAAATTTATATTAGTCGTTTATCACGATACACAGATTGAACAGAATTAAATTTACCATAATCTAATTTACTTTCGTCACTTCGTCTCATAGAATAAAAATATAATCGAAAAATCACATCTCATTATAAAACAAAGAATTTTCCATCGAACACGTATTGTATTTGAATAATGCAATTTTTATTGTATTTGAATAATGCAATTTTTATTCAAATACCATCTAATCGGGACGGGATACGGTGACAACCCCCTTAGGGGTTGTCAGATTCACAATCAAGGGTATTTTGGGTATGAAAAAATGAATATATTAATTACCTTTTGTGTATTAATTATATTTGACTTAAAAACCCATATTAAATATAATTTTTTTTAAATTTAAATCCTATACATTAATATCTCTATCTATCTCTCTCTCTCTTCCTTTCTCCAACAGCCACTCCGCATCGACGGACAGACTTTTTCTCCGGCGAATTCTCTCCGACAGATAGGGATGGCAGTGAAACCCGGACCCGCGGGTACCCGACCCGACCCAACCCGGTCAAACCGGGTAAAATCCATGTTGACCGGGTTCGGGTTGGGTTCGGGTTTAAACCCGGTGGCTGCTTGGGCGGGTTTGGGGGAACCCGACCCGTGGATACCCGAACACGCATACTAAGTGACTAAACCCTAATTTCCCATACGGCCATACAATCGAAATTACCCCATCTCCTTTCGCCCAAAGGCTGCTGCCGCCCCTCTCCCTTCGCGATCTCCAGACCAGAGTCCAGTCTCCAGTCTCCACCTCCAGTCCACCCTAACATCCCGACTCCCGACTCCCGACTCCAATCCAACGACCGCCACCGTCCAAAACCTGTCTCGCCGGCCGCCCCTCTCCCTGCTCCTCTGCTACGCGGCCGCCGCGCCTCCGACTCCACTCCCGATTCCGTCACGCCAAACTCTCCCTTCTCCTCTGCTACGCGGCCGCGCCTCCGACTCCTCTCCCAATTTCAGTCACGCCGCCCTCTCCCTGCTCCTCGGCGCGCGCCTTCGACTCCACTCCCGCCGCCCTCTCCTTGCTCTTCTGCTCCGCAGACCGCTACTCTGAGGCTCCGACTCCATCTGGGCAGAGGGTACCATCTGGGTAGGGTAACTTGTTTTGGCGTATGGTTAACTTGATGAATCAGTGTGTTGATGTTTATGTTTAGTATGTACCACTGAGATGAATCACTTTGCTTGTTTTGGCGTATGGTTAACTTGATGAATCAGTGGTTACATATATGTTTATGTCTCTTGGTATGTATTTCTGGCGTCATTACAGCGCATCCATGTCTTAGTGAAATGCATTTGAGATGTTGAATGCCAATTGTTAGCTAGGAAGTGGTTCTAAGCTGCCAAATGCACACCACCGCATCCTGATTTATCTTGAAACTGCTTCTGTTTATCTTGCAAAGCTGGTAAGATTATTATTTTGATAGTTTCTTGTTAATTATTATTTTATAAATATTTTACCAAAAAAACCCGCGGGTACCCATCAACCCGCGGATACCCATCGGGTTGGGTTGGGTTTGAGTTTTTCAAACCCAGCGGGTTTTACCCCGGGTTTTTTTGACGGACCCATGGGTTTGGGTTCGGGTTTGGCAAAACCCGCCCCAACCCGACCCATTGCCATCCCTACCGACAGACTCCCTCCGACAACCTGAAAAAATGTACCAGTGCGTTAAAAAGTGTACAAATCCATTAGTCTACTGGTAATTAATATACCAATGCTAGTCGTACGCTACCAGTGCGTTAAAAAATGTACCAGTACTAGTGGTACGCTACCAGTACAGCGATACCACTAGCATTGGTAGCGGTACCAGTAGAGAATAACACAAAAAAACAGATGATAGTGGTACGCTACCACTACCAGCTACCTTATGGTAGTGGTAGGTACCACTATCACTGGTACGCTACCAGAAGAAAAATGGTACCACTAAAAAACCAAATCTAGAAAAGGGGAGTCGGTGACGGGAGAGAGAGGTAGGGGAAGACGGTGACCTCGCGACGGCGGCAGTGGTGGGGGACGAAGGGCGGCGAGAGGGCTCCGACGGGGAGAGGATGATTGTGCCGCGGTGGTGGGAGGCGGACGTTGCGACGGGCCGGCGGGAGAGATTTGCAACAACAGGGTGTGGAGGGAGGCTGAGGATGGCGGAGACAACGACGGTGGAAGGCTCGACAAGCGGCTGCAGGAGACAAGGGCGTCGGCGGTGGAGGGCTGTGGCGGCGGAGGGCTCTGCGAGAGAGAGGGAGGAGAGACGGTGATGGCTACGGGAGAGAGGGAGGATGGAGGAGTTAGGGTTTTTTTTATATATGGTAGGGTGAATGATTGGGTGTGGTAAGTTTTTACCCTTCCAAAAATACCCTTCCTTTAATCTTAACCATTAAAAAAAGAGACAGGAGAGAGCGTATCCAAGGACTATGAAGTGGGTTGTGAATCGGGTTGTCACCGTATCCCGTCCCCATCTAATCTCTCTCTCAATCCAAATAAATGCTTGATTAGCCAGGTTTCACTAAAGCAAGAACTTACACTTGAGGGTAATTACTAATTTCAACATATACCAAGTGTAGTTTGGACTTGAGATTTTATTCTCTCTTTCCAATTTCCATAAACGGAAAAAATTTCAATTTCCACTCATTTAGCCACGACCGGTCTCGCTCTATAAAATGCTCTGCCCCCTTCTTCCCTTTCTCCGCCGGTCACCACCATTAGCAACCAAACACCCAACCAACACACACATTAGCCACACTTTTCTTCTTCATCGCTGTAAATCCATCTACCTTGCGATGGCGCATCTTGTTGCTCACTTAGCCTTGAAGCTCATGATCATACTCCTACTCTTCTTCCCAATAGACCAATCCAACGGCTGTTTGGACGACGAGAAAGTCGCACTTCTCCACCTCAAATCCTCCTTCAATTCAACCGCTCAAGAGGAACTCAACCACCCAACAACGGAAGATTGCTGCTCCTGGCAAGGAATTCAATGCAGCCAAACCACCGGCAGAGTCATCTCCATCGACCTCTTCCAGCTCTTCGATTTCCAGATCCCAGAAACAGAGTCCAGGTGCCTCAACACCACTCTGTTTCTCCCCTTTCCGCAGCTCGCCAGCCTCTCTCTCGCTCACGGCAGTCTGGTCGATTGCCCCGAAAAAAACCACGGTTACGTACTGTACTGCTCAGCGAGTTATTGGGACGAACTGATTTTTACACAGCTCAAATTATGATGTGTATTGTTTGTGCTGTCACAGGTTTGGAAGGGCTATCGGTACTTCCCCATCTGGAGATCTTGGATTTGAGCTTCAACAAGTTCACTGGCAGCATCCTTTCCTCCATAGGAGCCCTTCCTTCATTGAGGACATTGAGGTTGCGCGGCAATGGCATGGACGGTGTCGATAATCTCCGAGGTAGCCTCCGTCCCGATGTATGTTATCAACATTATTTCATTGGTAGAGGTTCATGTATGGTACTTACCACTTCTTTACATCACAGAGTTTTGAATTACGCATTTTGATCTGCGATTTCCAGGATTATGCAGTTTGAAGCAGCTTCGAGTTCTGGATCTATGGAACAACCACTTCGCCGGAGAACTGCCGGAATGTTTGTCCAATTTGACATCTCTACAAATTTTGGACCTTTCAGACAATCGTTTCACCGGAGACATTTCTCTGTCCCCATTGGGAAGCCTTATGTCGATTTCAGAATTGCGGCTCACCTACAATTCGTTCAAGATTCCTTTCTCACTGTCCCCATTTTCCAACCTCTCCAAGCTCAAAACCCTCTACGCCGACCACAACCAAGTTATCTACAGCGATGAAGGAGAGAAGAATTCTGCAAAATTCGTCTCTGCCCCAAGCTTCCAGCTGCAGACTCTGTACCTCTCTGCCACCGAGGGATACGGTGGTGACAACTTCCCTGCATTTCTCCACCATCAGCGGGAGCTGCAAGTGCTACACATCTCGAACGTTCGGATTGCGAACGATGGGTTTCCAGCCTGGCTGCTTCGGAACAATTCCAGGTTAAGAGAGCTCAACCTCGTCAATGATTCGCTCTCCGGCGGACTAGAGTTTCAGCCGCATTGGAACCTGACCCAGTTGGACATCTCCGACAACGACTTGGAAGGTCCGATTCCGAGCAATGTCTCGAATTTCCTACCCAATTTGTCCTCGTTAGTCATGTCGAACAACGATTTCGATGGCGCGATTCCGCCATTCGAGAGCGGGAAGCTGATGTACTTGGATCTGTCAAACAACAAACTATCTGGTACGTTACCGGGGACATTAGCCAAGGGGTGTCCTTTGCTAAGGACGCTTGTACTTTCAGGAAACAAATTGGATGGCAGACTATTGGATTTTGAGTTGCAGAGTTTGAAGACATTGAGATTGGATCACAATCAATTTCAGGGGAGCATTCCAATTGGGTTGTCTAGGAGCCCTGCATTGAACTTCTTGGATGTCAGCAACAACGATCTCTCCGGTACGATCCCTTCGTGGCTGTCGACGATGCCATCGCTCGACGTTCTGGACCTCTCGGGCAACGATCTCGTCGGAGAGCTGCCTAGAGGGCTCCCTTCTCCCTGGATGACACAGGTTTATCTATCGAAGAATCGTCTCGTAGGACAGTTTCGGATTGATTCGATCAGCGACGAATATCGACTGTTGATACTGGATGTCAGTCACAATCGACTGTCCGGACCGGTTCCTAGGCAGATTGACAAAATGTATCGATTGAGGTACATTCTGCTGAACAACAATAGCTTCCAGGGGGAAATGCCGATTGGAATGTGCAAGTTGGAGCATTTGAGGCTCATCGATCTATCGAGCAATGGCTTCTCTGGAGACATACTCCCCTGCATCAAGACTCACGCACACTGGTCACGGTTGGAAGGAGATGATGAGATTGGATTCCTGGGAGCAGCGACGCCAGCAATCGAACCGATGGAGATTACGACGAAAGCATTTCCTTACTCTTACCAGGGCCGGAACCTCCTCCTGATGTCAGGCATCAACCTGTCTGGCAACAACTTTACTGGTGAGATTCCCGAAGAATTCGGGAACCTCACCAGCATCAAACTCCTGAACCTGTCACACAATGCACTCACCGGGTCGATTCCGTCGACATTCTCTAAATTTGAGCAGATCGAGAGTTTGGATCTCTGTTATAACAATCTGACGGGGTCGATCCCCGCACAGCTGGTGGATCTTAACTCTCTGGCTGTTTTTAGCGTGGCGTACAACAATCTGTCTGGGAGGACCCCGGAGAGGGTTGCACAATTCGCGACTTTTAACGAGAATTGCTACGACGGGAACCCTTTTCTCTGTGGATGGCCTCTCCCGAAGAAATGTACTCCGGGATCCCCGCCGCAGCCATCATTGCCGACGGAGGATGGGGACGACGTCGACGATGGTGAGGTGATCGATACCGAGGTTTTCGTGTCGAGTTTTACAGTGTCGTTCGGGATGGTGTTGGCCGCGATCGCGACTGTTCTGTACATAAATCCGAACTGGAGGAGGAGGTGGTTTTACTATGTGGAAATGGTGATGGAGGGTTGCTATTACTTCATGGTGGATCATCTTCCGGTGCCGGAGAAGTACAAAGTTTTGGATCCCTCTTCTGGACGGCTGTCATGGCAGTAGGCTAGTGGATTGTGGATTTGTGGTAGGCTTTTTTTAGCATGGTGGGAATTCACTTGTAAAATTGTTTGATTGAGTTGTAGTAATAGTAATTCTAGGTTTCTTGGCATAGTAATGGGTAAATTTGCCATTACAGAATTGGATTGGTACATTGGTTTGTAAAATTGTTAGGTTTGGTGTACTGATGAGTTGTGACAATGTTACTCAAAATAAGCATGAATGTGAATTACGCCAGGGTTGTTTGAACAAGGAATTTTGATGAGTTGAGATCGGACAACACGAGGGTTTGTATCGATCGGTTTGAGTTAGTTTGAAAGCGTTAATAATCTGTCATGACACAAAGTTGATCTAGTGGCGCATTGTTTGTAATCTGCTAGTAAATCTTGAAAAAAAATTGTTAGTAGCCAAAGGAGAGTATTGAATCTAGATTCTGCTTACGTATAATTTGTATGGAATCTAGAAAGAACCTGACATTTTTATTTTTGTATTTGGTCTGCAGTTGTTTACTTGCTTTCCAAGATTCTGGTAGCTCATTGAGTTTAGTTCTTGGAATTTTGTTGATGCAGTCATTTCACAGAACAGTTTAAAAATGGGCTAAGATCTGGTGACTAAGGGGGGTCCCCTTAGTCACATGGCTAAGTGAATCTCAGCCACTCAACCTCATTAAAATCCAAGGGCTTAAATTAATCCAATTTAATGAAGGGCAGTATAGTAATTGTATATTTATTTTTTACTTTTAATTATAAAATGAAAAAAACCCCTGCGTTTCCGTTTCCGTCCTCGCAGCCTCCCGTCTCCGTCGTTGTCGGCGGTGGTCCAGGAGAATCTCCGCCATTATTTTTTTAAATGGCCGGGCAGGGGAATTCTCCCACTCATGCCTCGTTATCTTGTCCAGGGGAATTAAGAGAGAGAGCGCCATTATCTTGTCCAGGGAAATTGAGAGAGAGAGAGAGAGGGGAATTGAGAGAGAGAGCGCCATTATCTTGTCCAGGGGAATTGAGAGAGAGAGAGAGAGAGAGAGAGAGAGAGAGAGAGAGAGAGAGAGAGAGAGAGAGAGAGAGAGAGAGAGAGAGAGAGAGAGAGAGAGAGAGAGAGAGAGCTTTTCCGGCGACGGCGGAGCAGTTTTCCGGCGACCAGAGACGGTGGTGGATGATTTTCCGGCATCAGTATTGAGTTCGTGATGTTTGTAATGTTTATATTACTATTTGTATACATTGTAATGTTTGTAATGTTTGTTTGTCTAGTTTGTATACTTTATGTTATGATTTATACACTTTCTATTCATTGATTTGTATTTGTAACTTTTGTTATTCAAGTTTGTATACTTTTATGTTATGATTTGTATACTTTGTATTCATTTGTTTGTAATACAAGTTTACCAATCTGTATTGTAAGTAGTGATATTCTGTACGTGTAGTATGCTTTGTACTGTTTGTAATGTTTGTTTGTAATGTTTGTAATGTTTGTTTGCAATGTTTGTAATGTTTGTTATTTTGTAATGTTTGTAATGTTTGTTGGTTTCTTTTGTATTGTTTGTAATGTTTGTTATTTTGTAATGTTTGTAATGTTTGTTGGTTTCTTTTGTATTGTTTGTAATGTTTGTTATTTTTGTCCACATGTTTGTCATTTTTGTCAACCATGTTTGTAATGTTTTTTGCATCACAAATCAATACATATAAAGTGGGTAAATTACAAGGTTGGTCACTAAGATTGTTAAAAACGTTCATGTTTGGTCACTAAAAATATTTAATTCCATTCATGGTCATCAAAATTAGTTAAACATTTCAAGTTTGGTCACTCTCCGTCCAAGTCCGTTAGCTTTTGCTTACGTGGCAGTCAACTCTTATAGTTGACCGTTAAATATGTGACGTGACAATTAAAAAATAATAAAATAAATAAAATTTAAAATTTTAAGATTTCCAGATCATTATGCAAATATGAAAAAATAAAATAAAAGTTCTTTTACTTCTCCCCGTCGCGTCCCTTAGCCAGGCGATCAGATTGCGGCCGATGAGCAGAGGAATGTGAGTCCCCCTGTTTCTGCAATGAAGAAAGAACCTGTCTTTACCTTTACGTTTCTCTTCCTATGGTTTTACTTCCTTAACCTACCTAACGGCGCCAACGCCTTTTCTCTTGATGGACCGTCCCTCCTCTCCCTCAAATCCGTCGTCGACAATTCGCCGGCCGGAGCATTCTCCCATTCAAAGTCCGCCGACTTGAACCCTTGTCGCTGGTCCCGGAAATAAGCATGAGCGTCACCGGATCCGCGACGACATCTCGTAGGAGTTGGGCAAACTCATCTACCTCCGCCGCCTCAACCTCTATAGCAACTTATTCCGTGGCTCGATCCCAGCGCAACTCTTCAATGCCTCCGAGCTCCACGACATATTCTCTACGGGAACAACCTCGCTAGCGCCCTCCCTTCGTCGATCTGCATGCTCCGGAGAATTCAACCCTTCCAGCAGAATTGGAAGTGCTCGATTCCTCCGATTGCAAGGGGATCGAAGGAGGCACCTGGCAAATGAGGGCTCTGCGAGGGTTTGGTTCGAATGATTAATGAATTATTGGAATCATTTCCATGTTAAGGTGGATAAGGAATAAGCAGGAAGGATATGATGATGGTATTCTAGGTTTGGGTTCTTTCGTCTCCTTTCCCTTTCTTCTCCCTCCGATGAGCCTCTCTGTCACTGACCTGAAGTCCGCTATCTTCCCCTCTCGGCCGCCTCTTGCTCCGGCGGGGCAGCAACAATTATCTTTATATCTTGGAACCCTTAAAGGTTCGATTTTTTACACGCAGAAGCACGTTGGAAGGTTATGCAATTGAAGAGATCCGAGTCCCTGCGCTCTGCTGTTTAGTCACTGGGAAAGATTGGAAGAAACAAAATCTCATCGCTTTCGTAATTAGCATGCGATATTTCAAATTGAAATACGGATCACCATAAGAGCCCTGATGTAGTTGGCTTGGCTCACCGACAGCGAATTCGCCGGAGAGATTCCAACCGACGTTTGGGCGGAATTTGATAGCCTAACCTTTCTTCGAACAAATTCTCCGCCCAAATCCCTAACAATTTGGACGAACTGAAGTCCAAAACGATTAGGGGGCGTGGCGTCCGAGAACTAAAATAATTTTTATTTTATTTTGTCATAGTTGCATAATGAGCTGGAATCTTAAAAAAAATAAAATTTATTTATTTTATTATTTTTTATTGCCATGTCAGACATTTAACGGTCAACTATAAGAGTTGACTGCCACGTAAGCAAAAGTTAACGGACTTGGACGGAGAGTGACCAAACTTGAAATGTTTAACTAATTTTGATGACCATGAATGGAATTAAATATTTTTAGTGACCAAACATGAACGTTTTTAACAATCCTAGTGACCAACCTTGTAATTTACCCCATATAAAGTATACAAATTATTAGTACTTACAATACAAAGCGAAACATACTAAGAATACAAGCAAAACATACTAAGAATACAAACTGTCAAAGAAAAACATACTAAGAGTACAAACTGTCAAAGAAAAACATACAAACCATACTGACATTTTGTACAAAAATACTAACAATACAAACTAATGTTACAAAACATACAAACTATACAAATCACTGTTCTTCCTTCAGATGACGATACGATGTCTCTCCACGCCGCCGCCGCTGCCGCCGCCGACGTCGCCGTCGACTCTCTCTACAGCCGTCGTTACCTCTCTCTCTCCATCACCGCGCCGCTTCTATCTCCTCCATCGTCGTTGAAGCTCTCTCCGCCGCCTCTCTCTCCTCACCATCGTCTCTCTCTCCTCTGTTTTCCGACGAGTAGATCTACTTTCTCTCTCCAAGGCTGCCGCCTCTCTCTCCTCCAGCGTAGCGGCGTTCGCTAGAGAATCGCCTCGCAGATCGCCGAGAGAAAATCGCTTGGCCTTCGTCGGGAAGAAATCGGCTCGCCGTTGCTGGAGAATCGCCTCGCCGTTCGCCGGAGAAAATTGCCTCGCCCTTCGTTGGAGAATCGCCTCGCCGTTCGCCGTTGCTGAAGAAAATTGCCTCGTCTCTCTCTCTGGACAATACAACGGGAAAGGAAGAGAGAATTGGAGAGGGGAAAAAGGAAAAAATAAATAAAATGGAAAACAGGATTTAATTATTTTTTTTAAATGCCAAAACTACCCCTCTGATTAATTATTAACCCTTCCTTCATTTAGACCATTAGATCTACCCATTCTAATCTAAGGGCTGAGGGGAGCTTAGCCATGTGACTAAGCACCCCCCCTTAGTCACCAGATCCGGACTCTTTAAAAATGAACATCACATTAACCTCATTTCCTCTAACACAAGTTAAACCTTCCATTTCTTGACAAACAAGTAACATTTTCTTGCAGACATGAACCATAAATGATCTAGAAATCAAAAATCAAAGCGAAAAGGTACAAGTAACACTCTTAACAGCTCGTAAGAAACAGAATCAAGCCGATCGGCAATGGCTACCATTACAGTAGTATAGATCACCATCCGTCGCTAATTGCAGGGGCAGCAGCGGGAGAGGGAGAGGGAGCACAAGCGATCAGCAATGGCTGCCCGCACAACCCAGGGTTTCCTACAAAACCCGAAGCCGGAAAATTGTAGAATCCTCGGGGAATCGTTCCCGCCAACTGATTCCTCGACACATTGAACTCCCTCAAGCTGGTGAAGCTCATCTCTCCGGGTATCTTCCCGCTAATCTGATTGTTCTGTGCAAAAAATGCAGTAACGTTCGACATCGTCCCGAACCCACTTGGAATTGGCCCGACGAGCCGGTTATTCGAGACATCGACCCACTCCAGGTTGGTTAAAGAGGAGATCGAACCGGGCAGGAGGCCTTGGAGCCAGTTTCCTCCGAGCATCAGGTGGGTCAGGCTGGTGCAGTTGGCCACCTCGGAAGGAATCGGTCCGGAGATTCCGTTGTCTGTGAGGTCCAGTCTCCTGAGAGACTGGATCCTGCACAGGGGTTTGAAGTCCAGAGTTCCCGCGAGGTCGAGCTTGGGCAAGCCCACGACCACGACTCGGCCATCCGAGTCGCACAGGACCCCTGCCCAATCCCTGCAGGGGTCCGAGGTGTCGTTCCAGCCCCAGTTGGAGTGGGGCGGGAATGTCTCCGAGAGGGATTCCATGAACTGAAGGAGTGATATCCTTGTGGCGTAGGATTCTGAAGTGGAGGGTTGTGGTAAGGTTAGGAAGAGGAGGAGAAGGGATGAGATTAGGAGGGCTGACTTGTGGATGTTTTGGGCCATGTTTTTTTTTTTTTTTGTTAGGGAAGAGTTGAGGTTTTGGGTTGTGTTTGAAGGTTTGTGGTATTATTTTGCCTATTTATATATGGTGGTGAGAAGTAAATGGTGGGCTGAGACTTCAATGGCGTCAGGGAGAGAATCCAAGAGGAAGAAGACAATGGAGGAGGAAGTCTCGATGTTAAGAACAAGGTAACTGGATAAGGACGTTTGCTTGTGACCAGGGAATTACAATACTGGACAAGGAGATGGTTCTGAAAATTGGAGGGGAAGTAACAACAATGTACTTGGACTTCGAATTTTAAATATTTCTTTGATAATTTGTTGAGTAGATACACTCATTAACTTCTAAATATTATATCTGGCTTAAATTATCAATATAACAAACACATTAACATCTGTACTAGCCTTGTACCCGGTCCGTTGGCCGGGTGAACTTTGTTTGAAATGGTGATTGGGACAAAGCATAATGTTCGTAGATAATTAAAGATTTTCTCAGTCGGAAGTATAATTTAATATTAACTAATATCGTCACTTGGGTGTTTTTTCTCCTACTGTGTCTACTTTGTTCAGTCTATTGTTGTCGTCTCGCATCCTCTTTTATTATCTTCCTTGTAAATATTCTAATGTAAGAATCTGGTAGTCGTGTCCCTAAATTGAAATGTAATGTAAGTATGTGAATTGTTGATGCACATTGTTGGAATAATTTACCTGAAAAGAACAAAGAAGAATGAAGGAAGGGGAAGGAGTTCTTGCTCAAGTATAATCTGTTTCCAATGCGGGAAAAGAATTATATGAGTTTGAAGATGCCTCTATACAACCGTAGACAATGACAAAATATTGTAGTAAAGGCGTACCTGAAAGAAACAAAGTAGAAGACTCATCTGGTCGGGTTTGAAGACGATAAGCATAAAATTGCCTTTGGGATAGGAATCCTCTACGGATTTTGATATCAGGCCGCCATCCATCTTCGCCATATGGGAACAACAATGGATATTGTAGAGCCATTAAGCTAGGATGTCGCATACTAACTCTAGACAGTCTTGTAGATTGAAGTTCAACAACTATATCCTGGTTGTATGTTTCAATTCCTGTATCATTGACGACCAATGCAGCTAACTCATTAGTGGAAGCTGGCATATCATATTCACGTCCATCTCTGGCTCGTGCAGCTAACAGTCTAACTTCCATTTGTTGGACATCTTCATCCTGCAGCCTGTCACGTGCATATCTGAACACTTGAACCAATTGATTGTGTTGATCAAACATTTCCTTCAATGAATCAATGAGTGTCTCGTTCAATGGGTTACTGATGTCATTGTTGAAAGATTGCAGTCTATTGTTGATCTCATTACCAGTATCATGAATATAGAGCTGGGCAAACTTGGGGGGACTGCCAGTTTGTGGAAGCAAAGAGCCAATGTGATGATATACCTGTCCACTAATGGAGAACACATACACTCCTTGTCCTTGATTAATGGTGTGGTCCACCTTTCCGCCCAATGAAGTGAATGAAAAAATTGCATTGTAAGCTCTGATGTAATCACGAAAATGTTTCGGCAGTTCATCATTAGATTCCAATAACCATTTAAGGAAATCAGGAGGAGCTCTAGGTGGAGGCAACTTGACCTTCCCTTCCTTGCAACACAATGAGAATTTAGGGGACCGTTTGTTTCTAGTAGCCCTTGTACTTTCCTGCCTCCACATAAGTGCACCACAGAATTGGCAAATACAATTAGGTGCATCTAACGTAAAGGTCTCTACTGCCGGAGGTTGTGCTGTAAAATAAGCAAGGAATAAGGGAAAAAGCAGGTTGCTTGTTAGATGAATTTTAGGTGAAAAAGATTTTAGAATATACTTGACCTCGGAAACATACCTTGAGTCATATGGCGATGTTTAAATAGTTTGATCTTTCGTTCCAAGCGATTGATTTTTGCAACCAATTTTCGTGTATAATATCCATAATCTGGAAAGTGAAGAAAGTTCAATGAAATACAGTGAGAGTTCATTGGGAACATGACAGAAAGAAGTTTACTAATAGCAAGAATATAAACTTCAACATACATGTTTCCATGGAGGAGTTGAATACAGATTTTCGCTTCATGAGTAAATGCAGCCTCCGTTTCTCACGCATTGCCTTTGAGAGGGCAGTTTTCAATGTCAAGAGGAGGACCTGGTAATGTTGAGTTTCTATAATAATAGAAAGGTGGGAGAAGTTAGTGGAGGCTGAAGGTGCAAACCAAAATTGATCATTGATGTCCAGGTTCATTGAAATGAAAAATACAAAAAGAGATAAATTAGAGGTAAATACGTGTACATGGAACTTAGTGTTATCTCAAAAGTATGATTTCATACAAAAGATCATACATGGATATCGAAGTAGTACCTTGATCACCAGCATTGGCAGCATTTGACGAAGCAAAATATTGTGATGAACCTTCACCTGTATAGACGGCTGGTGCTGCATTTGGAATGAAGAGACTTAGTCCTTACAAACAATCCTCCAACAGCCAGGGAGACCACGTATTAAGTGATATGAAAGAATGAAATGTGGTGCTTACCGTACTGATGAGAGATTGCTGCAGGAGTTCGTAACCGTTTGGGGCGAGGTTCTTCCGAACAGGAGATTGATCTTTTCCCTTTTCGATCCATCTACAACATTCATGTGTCAAGGTAACAAATAATCAAATAATTCCCAGATATTATGGAATCCCTCTATCCTCCTAATTCTATGAATTAGCGCCCTCCCCCCTGGGGTTGAGCACTTTGATTACAGGAGCTCCCTACAGGAAATATAGTATATTTTTAGATAGGTAAAGTTTGCAATATCAATTGAGATATGGAGGTCCGGCTAATTAAGGAGCGAGAGAGCTAGCAAAATACCTCCAAAAACAATGAGAAGTTGGGTATGACATACCAATGATTTTTTTTTTTTTTTGAAACTTTTGGCTGAATAGTGTGCCTAGAAATAGCGTTGGCAGATCGGGGTTGTAACTGGACAGCAAGTATGGCCGTAGCCTTGCCGTGCAGCGGGGTGCGAGTTGCTCTTCTTGCAGCGTAATTGGAATAGAGGACGGAACCGTGGGATGGAGCGGAGGAAGTAGAATGTGGGGTTTTCTGGGCAGGTGGGATTTATGGATGGCACTGCTGTCAACGGGCAGGCGTTTGCTGGGGGCGCCGAAGGAAGGGGAAGGAGTTGGCGGCGGTGGTTGCTGGTGGCGCCGAAGGAAGGAGAAGCAGTTGGCGGTGTTGGCTGTTGTTGGTCTGCAGAGAGGAGGGTTGGGAGAACTTGTGCGGTGATGAGTTGCAGGGCGGGAGAAGCGGAAGAGTCGATTTGGGGGGTCACTTTACCATTTACCATTTTGTGTTTTTTTTTTTTTTTGCTGGGCTTATTTTGATTGGCTGGAGGGGTCTGCTGACGTGGAGGCATAATGGGCTGGGGAATTTGAATCCACGAGGTCATTATTTGGAAAAGTCTTATTATATTCTATTGATGATTATCACCTTTAAGCAATTCGATTGTGTTGTACGTTGTTTAATGACTGTATATTGAGACCAAGGTTTAGGGGTGGGCAACGGGAAACGGGTATATGGGAATACCCGTACCCGTCCCTTTTTTTTAGGGTTACGGGTACCCAAATACCCGTAATTTATTTTACGGGATGGGACTTGGGATCAAGAATCGCTACTTTAGGTACCCGCGGATTACCCGTTAATACCCGTTTGGGTATTACGGATACCCGTTATACCCATTAATCCAAAATCCTAAAATCCAATCCCATGACACAAGCAATCAAAACCTATGTAACCTAATCAACAATACAATAAATTGCACCGGAGATCGCATAAATTGTCTCAGCCACTAGTCTTATATCATACTCATCCACTGTTTTCTTCCTTGAGCTACTGTCTGTGTCCTTTACTTGTGTTTGTGAGGAAGACACTGATGGACTTGGCTCAAGAATCTTACTTCAGTTTCAACAATAGAGAACATGGGCCAACGTGGTCATTTCTATTACATGGCCGCAAGGACTCGATGGCACCAGTGTGAAGACAGGATCCATGTTTTCTAGAGCTTCGATTGACGGGTATTTATGGGTAATATGGGTACCCGTTATCCGTCCGTACGGGTTTGGGACATGGGATAGAGATTGCTCTCCAAATGGGACTGGGTACCCGTTTCAAACGGGACGAATATCCCATCCCGTTGCCCACCCCTACCAAGGTTTGGGAATTGGGATATATTAAGGGTCGAAGCCAGTGTTTGCTAAACAATATCGTACCATCGTGATGTAATTATCGCATAGGCGGCAAAGGGTCAAGATCCATAAGTTCAATTCAATATTAACCTTAACATGTATTGTTATGAACACCAATCAAAAAGACAGATCATAGGTAATAGCATCCATTTCTATGAAAAAGCAAAGGACCATTTTAAGTGTTCCATGCGAAGATCTCTGCCCTTTCTCACGAGCTTTATCAAACCCATAAACTAGTATTGGATCTCTTCAAACTAGCTAAGTACTGCATTTGGAGTACTAGAAAATTTCAAGTTGTTAACCATCTTCAAACTGGGTTGACATACGATTACAAGTAATTAGGGGGCACCAATACACAGAGAAGACTTGGCCCACTTCCATCATAATGCAGTGAAATGGCAACAGCACAGATAAGGTGTCGACAGCAAACACAGTCTGCTCTGTGCTCATAACGATGCCAACAATCGCAAACATCAAAATAAATGAAGTAGGAATCCACCAGACACAAAAGGTAACAATTCCGACCATCAATTATTCAACAAAGAAACAAAACCCAGCAGACATCATTGTTCAAAGGCCATTACCATGATCAAACATAGTACTTGAGAATAAAAAGAGAACATGAAACATGGAAACGACCAATCCATAGAAACTAGAAACTTGAACAATCAAGAAATCATAAACCAGCACCAGATATAGCGAAACGCCCTTAAAAGCCACCACGGAGACGTAGGACAAGGTGGAGAG